ATAGTAAGTGTAATATCAACAACAGTGCCTAAACCCTAAACCCTAAACCCAATAATGTCAGAGGGGTTAGTTCCGAGATTCCAAGACTGCGTTCCCCTGCGAGGGCCTTGCCTCTTTGTAAAGCAGCTTCGGGGCTGTCAAAAGGTTTCAGCTCGATGTATTCTTGTCAGCAGGGTTTAGGGTTTAGGGTTTATGGTTTATAACTGCTACCATAGCAAGTTGGACCCTTCTTTGTCATGGCTACTATGATCCTTGTCACAAGTTGTATGCTTAAACCCTAAACCATGAAACCTAAACCCTGAACCCTAAACCCTAAACCCTGAACCCTAAACCTTAAACCCTGAACCCTAAACCCTAAACACTGAACCCTAAACCCTAAATCCTAAACCTGGAACTGTGGAGGCTTGCAGTCTTGGACCACCTACACGGCGCGGGTCGCCGTGCTTTGTGACGAGTGCAGCGACACGCCGACCGCTGAGCGTCTGCCTTGTAGCTCGGAGGACCCTGATGAGGGGTAGCTTCCGCCGGCAGAGGTTTTTGTAAAGTTACAGCACCCTACTACCGTTCCTGTCCGCGCAAACCTGAGCTGGTGCTTCCTACATGTTGGAGCTGCTTCCAGACATCTTCTGGATAATTGCTCTCATTGTCAGTCTTATTGCAATTAATATAGCCATTACTATCGACAGTAGTTTTATGATGACTCTTATCCATATGATTAAATGTCTTTCTGCTGGTTATTGCTATGATTGCTGCTGTTGTTATGTTGCTAGTTGCCTGGGCGGTGCCATGAAGCATTACCTTTCAAACCTGTCCAGGGGATCCTGACCTGTGCATTTGGACTGCACACAAGTAGTAGCATTAATAATAGTCATGGTGATCATAACGATAATACGAAGACTTATAGCAATACACAGTAAAATTATTCATAGTACGTGTAAGAATAATCCTGGTTTGAACTAACTGCCTCCTTCATAGTAGTTGCAATAGTAATCCTGTCTTTTAAGCCCTAAACCCTAAACCCTCAGCCCTAAACCCTAAGCCCTAAGCCCTAAACTCTCTCTCTCTATATATATATATATATCTATATCTATCTATATATATATATATATATATATAAACATATCTTTAAAGCTTGGCAAACCTCCGGAGGATGGCCCTGATGACCGCTGCTTGGTCCCGGTGGCCGGTGGCTTTACGCAGTGCTTCCGCAAGCTGGCGGCCTTGAGGCCCCCCCTCTTAAGGAGGATGGGGTTCCATGTTTAGGGTTTAGGGTTTAGGGTCTAGGGTTTAGGGTTTAGGGTTTAGGGTTTAGGGTTTAGGGTTTAGGGTTTAGAGTCTAGGGTATAGTCTAAACTCCTCAAAGGGGGTTCTATAGGGAATGCTTGTAGGAGACTAAGAAGGGGTATAAATTCAGTTTGGACAATGGCTCACTGCTGGGGGAGGCTAGCGGCATGAATGCATGAATGTTCTTCACATGTAGAGCTAAACCCCAAACCCTAAACTCTAAACCGGTGTTCGTTGACAGCTTGTTGACTGCCAGCTTCAGGGCTTCGAGCAACTACTCCTCGCCGAGCCATGCGGCAACCACATTGCCAAGGCCGAGCACGGGAAGAGAACCCTAAACCCTATAAGCCCTAAACCCTATAAGCCCTAAACGCTATAAGCCCTAAACCTGAAGCCCTAATCCTAAACCCCTAAACCCTAAACCCTAAACCCTAAAACCCTAAACTCTAAACCCCTAAAAACTAAAGAACTCTCCAAAGAAGTCGCTTGCGAAATGCTGCAGGCCTGAGGCGAAGCCGCTTTCCGGGACAGTGCCTCGTCTGGCAATGCTGACATTTGTTTTGAAACTTCTAGGGTTTAGGGTATTAGGGTTTAGGATATTAGGGTATTAGGGTATTAGGGCATTAGGGTTTAGGGTTTAGGGTTTTTTAGAGACGCTGTTTCAGCTTTCAGAGCAGTTGTGCTGTTGTGGTCACGGTTCCATTACGTGGAGCAAGATGCCTTGCTGGTTCTCCTGAAGGTATGATGTTCAAAGGTGCCTTGCAGAGCAAGATTACCTGAGCCATCGCAGAATTTTCATGGACGTGGAATGCTTTCCGCCACGACTACTCCAGTTTGGGGGCTCCTAAACCCTAAACCCTA